GATGTCTGAGCAACGCCTGGAGCAATGCAAACCTAGTACTGGGCCCAATACCACTTGTTAGTATGCAAGTATATAATAAAATGAACTGATGCATACTCATGAAAGGTTTGAAGAAAGACCCTTGCACTTGGAATTGCAGATGAAAGGTAACATGCTTAAAGGAATATTATGTTTGCATTTCAGTGGTAGTTCACTGAAAGCCTGCCATCAAACAAGTAATTCTGAGTCTTGCTGTTGTTTTTAAAGGGACTATGACTTCACTGCAAACTTTTTTTCAGGGATATAATGCTAAATAGAGATTTTTCACAGATGAAAACTAAAGAGAGCTTTTGGGGGGTTTCCTTTCTTTTTCTAAGGGGAGGGGGGAAATTTGATGATGTGTTTAACTGATGAAAAATGTAATAAAATTGATGCATTTACTTGTGGAAATATTTCATGGCCTATCAGCAGCTGATAGTCCACAATACCTACTGCAAGCTAGCCTCCAACAGATTATAGAAGTCCAAGTAACAGAACTCTTTAAGGGTGTGTTTTTCCTTGTGTTAAATATGAATTCGCCCTTCAGTAACTCTCACAAAATGCTTAATGTTTTGTATATTTGGTTTGGGTCATTTTTTGAGCAAGTGAAGAACCTTCAACACTTTTTTTTTTTTTTTTTTGTCTTTATGGTTGCCTCTCACTACATTTCATAACTGCTTTCTGTAACAAAAATATGATAAAGTCCCTAGATGACCAGTAAGTAACAAGTCACTTGCAGAACGGTAAGAATTACAAATTCTTGTGATGGGCAACAATTTAGCATGGTTTTTAAAGCAGCATCTATGTGTTTTGTCACTGTCAGTCATTTCCACTTCAATATATGAGTTGCATAACTTCTTAGCTGAGATAATCGGACAGACTTTTACATTATTTGATAGATAGGGTGGTGGTCTGGTTAAGCTACTAGTTTGGCATGAAGAGGGTTGAAGTTCAATTCTAATTTTGACATATATAGTATGACCTGGGCAGACCACTTAATTCTATGCCTGTTAGTCACCTTGCTCTTGAGTGTTCTCAAAGCACAGGTTTTTTTCTTGTTGTGTTTATGAACTTCTATGACAGAAAGGAATCCTTACCAAAAGTAGTTTTAGGGTACAAGTGTATAAGCTCAGGAGCAAAATATTCTGAACTACCACTTTGGTAAGCATGGCACAAAAGGGAAAATGCGCATGCAAGCTGGTTAGGCTAACTTCTATCCCTCCAGTGTGTAATGGCAGGAGTTTTTCATATTGCTCTAATGGGAGATTATTTTTTTTTCCTGCAATAAAAAAAAAAACACTTTTGCAGTGTTAACGTGAAGTCTTTACCTAATACCAGTCAATTTATTATTTGTTTGTTTATTTTTAAATTATTATCCTGTGAGCGATTTTATCAGCTTCTACTGACTTTGGTTTAGATCTTAACAGATGGATTTTCAAATTACTGTTTTAATGGCTTGTAGCTGAAGTATCTTTCTTGTAACACATTTTAAGAGCTGCCAGCCCTGTCACTGTATTCACTTTGTACTGAACTGTAAGTGCCTTCCTCATTTTCCGTGGCAATCTACACATCTGGTCACTTTGTTCAAGCTTAAAGTTAACAATAAAACTGTGTTGCTGACTTGTGATGTTTTTGGCTCCTTCATTTAGCTCCTTCTACAGCAGGAAAAAGCTTCCTTTCTCCTTTTACAGGCTATGCATTTTCCATGATGCATTTATTGATCATTAAAGGATTTCTTTTTTTTTGTCTGTATATTTAGATGCATGTTTTTATGCAACCATTTGTTGGTTGTCCATTACTGTTGCAGAGAATCTGAAGGCAGGTGGTGTTATTTTATACAGTTTGGTGGTAATACGCAATGTTCTTACATGGCTGTATGTTAATCCAGTCAACTCAACTGTGCAGATGACTTGTAGCTTGATGCTGGTACTCTGACAGCCTTTTGAAAAACCTTAACTGCTGCATTTTTGCTAAGGAGAGTGACTTGTGAGTCATGTTGTATGTTCACTAGTCTACTAAACACAGATTTCACTGTTTTTCTTTCTAGAAATGTGAAAAGTAAACTTAGATGAAATATAACTTAGAAATATCTCTCTGCCTCCCAGTGATACAAATCTGAGTCAAGCTGCTACTGTCAGTGCTGTCTGCTTTAGTAAGCTGCAGAGATCACTTCAGATACTATTTCCTCTCATTCCATGACTTCTCTCTGTGTAATGGCAATGATCCTTTCCTTTCTGATACTACTTCGTGTTAGTACCTCAGTTCAGGTCTGAACAGACACTGGTGTGCATCTGAACATATGGACACATGGTGCACAGTGACAGATTGTTTCTATGGTCGCTTCCAGAAGAGGTCTTTCCCTCTCCCTTTGGGATCATCAGGCTGAGGTGAGACCATGTATTCCACCTGGCACAGTAAGAAATACTTGGATTTTCATTTGGGCAAGTACTTGTGCTTTTGCTGGGGGCATACCTCATAACATCCGTAGCATTGTTCCTTACATTTATATTAGTGTTACTTGAGAGTGATTCTGCTGTGCTCAGCTGCTCATTTTACTAGAAAAGAAGGGTAAAATTAGCAGCTTTATTTAAATCAACTGTCAGATTAAAATTTATTTTTCAGTATGGGTACTTAAGAGTGTCACAAGGTGTTTGAGTAGTGATGTACTTGTTGCATCTGTTTAATATTAGCAGCTTTCCCTTGAAATCTGTGATGAGTCTTGAGTAAATGAAATGTGGAAGAAGTCATGTCAATAATAAAGCACCTGTGAAAACTGCATGCTAATGGAAACAAGAATACTCCCGGAAATGATCAGTACACTACATTGGTTCAGTATGTATAATGTGTCGCTCATCCTCAGGTTCTATTAGAAGTGACAACAAGAAAAAAAAATCTCTTAGATGTTCTGGACAAAATTCAGTGTTGGTGAGCTGTACTGACTAAATTCTGTGTAAATTTCTGCTTCTACTAGCTTTAACTTTGTCATTGGTTCTTCTGTAATCTACATTGACGTCTGAGTCAGATGTTTAATTCATATGCATTGATGATGAAAGAAGAAAAATATTTTTAGTCTAAAAATTGTTAGATCAAACTTTAGGATTTTCTGGGGAAGGAATAAAGAAAAAATAATTGTGTCAGTCTGTGTCCTGGGTTTAGCAGTGGCAGTCGTTTTTCTCCTTCTTGGCAGCTGGTGCAGTGCTGTGTTTTGACTTTCGGGCTGGGAACAGAGCTGAAAAAACAATGATGTTTTGGTTTGGCCAAGGACTTGGTGAGCCTCATGCTCTGCCAGGGAGGAGGGGAAGCCGGGAGGAAGCAGAGACAGGACACCTGACCCAAACTGACCAAAGAAGTATTCCATACCACAGCACGTCATGCCCAGGATGTAACTGGGAGTTAGCCGGAAGGGCTAGGAGGGCCTGCAGAGTTGGAGGAGGTATTGGTCGGTGCTTGGTTGGGTTGGGGGGGGCAAGTTATCGGTCGCCTGGTGATGAGGTCTTGTATTCTCTTCCCTTGTTATTTCCTTTATCATTGCTATTATTGGTGGTAGCAGTAGTGATTTGTGTTATACCTTAGTTACTAAACTGTTCTTATCTCAACCCGTGGGAGTTGCATTCTTTTTGATTCTCCTCTCCGTCCCTCCTAGAATAGGGGAGGGCAAGAAGGGGGGGGTGGGGGGTGGAGTGAGTGAACAAGCTGTCTGGCTGGGGTTAAACCATGGCAGTTCTTTTTGGCGCCCAGCGTGGGGCACGAAGGGATTGAGATAACGACAGATCTGACGGGATTAATAGTCACTCTTCACAGTGCTGATTTATTGGCTCTCAAAGTTGTTCCTCTTGATCTCACAGTTTCAGTATATCGTACCTTACTTCCATCTGGTATTTGCTGTATTAGTGTTTTTCAAGTGTGGGGCTTGGGCTACGTTTTTTTTCTCATTGTACTTTATGCTAATGACTTGTAATACAATGGAATTATTGATCATGAAACTTATCTGGCTTATGTTCCCAGTATGGTCGCCACCTTTATACTTTGGGAGGTATATAATAAAAGTGCTTAGCAATTACACATCTTTTTTCTCCTTCTCGGGTGGTCAACCTGTGAAGGAGACATTCTTTTACCCTCCCAGTCCCGTCCCCCCCCCCCCGAGCATTTACAGCATTATTTGAGAGTTTTGAATGGCCTTTTAATGCTGTTGAGACTTGTTTGCTGATTGTGATGGGGATCACCATGTTGGCATGTATACAGAGTGTATTTTGCCCACAATTATTTCATCTGTTTTCAAAAGTTAAGCAGAGTCAGGTTTGGGTCTTGTCTGGGGTTAGATGACGATATGGGAGGACCAAGAGGTTTCCCCCAAGGCTGGACAGTCATGAGTGGCAGGGCATGTGGGACAGTGTGGGCAGGTATCTAGTCCACTGGCCCCCTCCAGTGCTTTGGAAGCATTGGAGATGGAAGGCAGCTGTATGGAGTCCCCAGCAACAAGCTGCAGAAACTGCTGAAGGGGACAGTCAATTATTTTTAGCCTGGTGGGCCCATGACCCTTAAGGCCATCAGAGCAGAGATGCAACATCGAGATGGACTCATGATCAAGGGGTGGACTTAGCAATGGACACTATTGCCCAGGTTATTCACAAGTGTGAACACTGCACACAGCCTCTCGTGCTCTGAAAGACTGTTACAAGAGATGGAGCCTGGCATCATGGACCAGATGGACTCAGCAGCTTTATAGGGACTGGCCCATGCACTACGATGAGAGTGCACTTAGATCAGAGTAATGGTATATTGAAAATGTAGGATCTGAGCATGACATGAATGGTATGGAATAAGGGGTGGATAATATCCTGGGTTTAGCAGTCATTTTTCTCCTTCTTGGTAGCTGGTGCAGTGCTGTGATTTGACTTTCAGGCTGGGAACAGAGCTGAAAAAACAATGATGTTTTGGTTTGGCCAAGGACTTTGTGAGCCTCATGCTCTGCCAGGGAGGAGGGAAGCCGGGAGGAAGCAGAAACAGGACACCTGACCCAAACTGACCAAAGAGGTATTCCATACCACAGCATGTCATGCCCAGGATGTAACTGGGAGAGTTACCTGGAAGGGCTAGGAGGGCCTGCAGGGTTGGAGGAGGTATCAGTCGGTGCTTGGTTGGGCTGGGGGGGTAAGTTATCGGTTGGCTGGTGGTGAGGTGAAATATTCCCTTGTTATTTCCTTTATCATTACTATTATTGGTGGTAGCAGTAGTGATTTGTGTTATACCTTAGTTACTAAACTGTTCTTATCTCAACCCGTGGGAGTTGCATTCTTTTTGATTCTCCTCTCTGTCCCTCCGAGAATAGGGGAGGGCAAGAAAGGGAGGGAGTGAGTGGACAAGCTGTCTGGCTGGGGTTAAACCACGACAGTCTGCATCCCTCATGTTTTCAGAAAAGTGTATAACATTAATTTCTCTAGCAAAAAAAAAGTTATGCAGAAGGAAATAAGAATGATCAAAGATGTTAAATGACTTCTGTTTGAGGGTTAATTAAACAAACTAGTGTGCCTTAGGCTCAGAAAGAAAAGATTGAGGGGATGTGAAGGCTTATAAAATTGGAGAAATTGGGAATGATTTTATCTGTCTCTTCCAATACAAAACCCTATTGTTATCAGTGAAACTAGCAGCTGGTAGGGTTAAGGGGAGAAAGAAAAAAAAAGGAAAAAAAAAAAAAAAGTGGTATGTAGTTCCTGCTACATGGAGAGTTAATTATTTGCCAGCAGGGACTGTGAATACTGAAATATGACATACATCTAAAAGTGACTTGGCAGATTTATAGAAGAAAAAGCTATCAAGGTCTGTTTAGGACAAGGGCATCAGATCAACCCCGAGAAATCCATGTGCTAGCGATGAAAATTGTATTGAAAAGTATTCTGAGGGAGTATTACATAATGCCTGGTGTGTTGCCTGTGTTTCTCTTGCTGATCTACTTTTTCATTTAGGGACACTTATCCAGCTTTTCAGTTTGTTAAATCATTCCTTTTTTTCCCTGTACAGAAGCAATCCTTTTTTTTTTCAATATATGGAATACAAAATACACCTGTGTATGTGGAAGGAAAAAAAGACCCTAAAATAACCTTTTCTAGGCTTTATTTCGTTACTGGCAAAATGCATATATATTTTCTACAGTAATCTCAACAGCTGACCAAAACTCTCTGTGACTCAGACTTTTCTAACAGGTATCAGATCACTTTTTGTGTCAAGAGCTAGGTTTAGGGTCCCTTGCTCTTCCCACATACAAACTTGATGGAGACCCATGCTGTTAATAATCTATGTATTGGAACCTCTCTTTTCCTGTAGCGTCAGCATGGGATATTCCTTATGTTTGTTCTCCAAATATCTCATAACATAGACCTTTGCTCTATAGACACAGAGCTTGTTAGTCTGTGTACAACTCTTATGGCAGATACTGTTGTTCAGTATAATCTCAGACAGAAAACATGTCAATACATCATAAGAGATACTTTTACATTGGACCGGATATTTGCTTTATAGCACATCAAATTTAGTAGGATGTTCTACTCGGCATCAGTCAGTCACTGTGGCAACGTTAACCAATATATTAAGGCAATTATATGACAACTTTTCAAAAGGAATAAATGTTCTAATACAGAAAGATGTACATATCACTAGATACTTGAGTGATTACAGCTCTACTTGTCTGCTTGCATTTAAGCATGTGCTTCGTGTTTTGCTAACAGATGAATTCAGCTGAAACTGCAGGAGAAATTCAGGTAGGAAGAATGTAATCTAGCTACTTGTCTACCCACAAAGCAGCTCTGGATCTTTAATGACTGAAAGTGCTCAGTGTTATGATTTTACATCTCATATGGGTATTTAGTTTACTATTAACCCAATGATTTAACATTCAAACACAATTAACTAGCATGATAAGTAGAGTGATGATTTTTAATTTATTTGACCTTGTGAATGTGTGATTTCTCCAAATGCACTAAGAAAAAAATCCCATGGTCATAATCAAGAAGTAATAAAGCATATTGAAGCAAAAGAGACTTGCTTATATCCTCTATGGAGTGCTCTCATCCTAGTAGCAAGAATTTTTTTTATGAGTTTTGATTTGTTATTTTTTTTATGTGCTTAGTTTATGAAGTAAAATTAGTGATGAGAGCAATCTTCTGGTGCTGGTTTCACCAAACTTGTGTTTATTAAATCTGTGCTAATATGTTCTTATTGATTTTCCCAGTTGGTCTGATAGATGCTGAAACATTGTACCTTTTTTGATGGTGAAGAACTTTTCCCAGGTAAAATAAACTGCAGTTAAGAAAAATACTTGCTGTCACAATATTTCACTTATTATAAAATATATTATTATGAATCTTCTGTTGGAAAAGCTTCTAAAGCAAGCAACAAGGAATACATACACTGGCCTTTCATAACACCTGTCATCCTAATGGTAGATACTGTGAACTTCTGGCAAAATAAAATGAATATTTGATGTTTTCTTTAGCATATGGAGAGAGTGCAATCTGCCAAAGCTCTGATAAGTTTCACAAATACTTTTTGTTCTGTGTTGACATCTCAACAGCAGGATGAACTGGGAAAAAAAATAAACAGTGGGGTTAAAAGCAACCAAAATGACAGACAATTACAAGAAGGCAAATGCTAGCTGAGTTCAATCAGGCTGCAGGTGATCCTCAGTGCAGCTGACAGCCTTTTGTTTGATGGGCAAAGTGATTATTGTGGAGTGGCCTTTCTGGTTACAAGAGTTTGGCTTCCTTCATCAAGTGCTCCTTCCAGATGGAAGGATCTTCTGTGCTAGGAAGTGCTATTTACCAGCAGCACAATGGCTTTTGTACCTGCAGGATTTTTTTAGGCAGGAAATATAGGAATCTATGCTGCTTTTTTACTTCTAATCTACTTAAAAAAGAACATTTTTCTGCTGATACGATCTACATAGTCATTTCAGTCAGCTTGAGGCATAACGTTTTGGGTGCCAGCTCTTTCTCCTTGTGCTATAGATTTGCTTTCAGTTATTTTTAGAACTGTTTTCGTACCAAATCAGGGCCAGTATTTTATTAATGGGAAACTTAAGCAAAACTAGGTTCAGAGTCTCTTGCTCTTCCCAAGTACAAACTTGATGGAGATTCATGCTATTAATAAATTTTATGCATTTGAACCTCTCTTCTCCTATAGTCTCAAGTTATAATATTTCTTATGGATACTTCTTTACCTAAAGGTCTCGTAACAGTAAATCCCTGCTTTATAGACCCTATTGCATGTAATTTTCTCTTTTGAATTTCCTCTCTATGTGCAAATGTCATTCCTACCTCTTTTCAGGCATCCATCTTTGCAAAGACCTTTTGGAATTCTTATTCTTATCTCTCCATACCACTGCTCTCAGGGAAAGGGGTGAACTGGTATTTCTTATAAGATCTCAAAAGAAAGACATAATGAGCTTTACACTGTGGAAAAAGCAGCTATGCATAAAAAAATGGAAGTTCAGTCAGGATAGGCTTTTCTTACCAGTATAAATTATCTCAGTCTTTTGTATACCTGCTGTAAATATCTATTGTTTTGAATATTATGATAAATTGTAGACATTATAATTCATAAGTACAAGCTGAATGTTTGTTTAAACATGCCTAACGACATAGCTTAGAAAAAACTGAATTTGTCTTTTACCATGCTTTTAACTTTGACCATTACAAAGAAAAAGTTTAAAAAGTGTAACACTTAGAAATATAAATATGATAATAAAGTAATAAAAAAGATAATAAGAACATACTGAAATATAGAATCATAGAATAGTTAGGGTTGGAAAGGACCTTAAGATCATCAAGCTCCAACCCCCCTGCCATGGGTAGGGACACCTCGCTCTAAACCGTATCACCCAGGCCTTGTCCAGCCTGGCCTTGTGCACTGCCAGGGGTGGAGCATTCACAACCTCCCTGGGCAACCTATTCCAGTGCCTCACCATCCTAAGAGGAAAGAATTTCCTCCTTATATCCAATCTAAACTTCCCCTGTTTAAGTTTGAACCCATTGCCCCTTGTCCTATCACTACAGTCCCTAATGAGGAGTCCATCCTCAGCATCCCTACATACAAATCAGTGAATATATCTGAATATATCTGGGTTACCTTAGAAGATGCTTTTTCATCTTACTCTTCATAAGAAATCTTTTTTTTCCCTTCACATATTCCTTTCTTGTTTTTTTTTTTTTCTATCAGAATAACCCCTGAGATCATGTCCAATGGATATTTTCATAAACCTTGGTGCTCACAAGTGACCTCTCAGATTTCAGTCACTTACTGTGAGCAACACGAAATGAAAAAAAGAAACCCTATGAAAAAGAAAAACAGGGTTGAATTTGTTTCTGAGAGCTCCTTGGGTATCATGTATCAGAGCTTCATGCAGTCTGAAATGTATTGAAAGTTGGGGATTTCTGACAGAAACACAAATTAAATCTGAACTGGAATATTGCTAATGGTTCCCTTCTAATAAAGCTTTTACTGTAATAGAATGATATTTCAAGGTTGCAACAATAGAAAAATACCTTTAATGTTGAACGCAGTTGAGTCTGGCAGAAAAAAAAATATTTTAGAGTCTGATTCTCTTTTCATCTAATGTTAGTGTAATCAGCAACTAAAGTGGTATGAGGAAAGATGCAAATCCAAAGACCTGTGTCTTTGTTGCTTGCAGACTTCAGGAAAATTTAATTTTCTCAATGGATCTCCAGTTTTCCTGTGTATCTTGGGTTTCTTCATTGCACATTTTGCATTTAGCCATTCTGATGCCCTAAGATTCTGAGGGTTGAGAACTGTATCACATAAATGGGTTAATATTAGAGGTGGGAAACAAGCAAAGAAGAAATATATGCAACTTCTGTTTCATCTTATTTGGGTGCTTTCCCAAGAAAACAAATGCCTTGTTTTCTCTCCTTTTGCAAATTAATATCTTCTCCATGTGGAAGTTCCCATGTTGACCTCCCAACCACCAGTCAATCAACCAGTTGGATTGTGGAACCTGTTTTAAAATTTTCTTGGACACGTTT